CTGGGGAATTCTGGGTGTTGAAGTCCACCCATCTTAAAGTTGCTGAGGTTGAGGAACCCTGTTTTAAGGGATGCAACCATCATCTTAAGCCTCTATTGTCTTTTAAGGCCTCCCATCTTCCCCTTGCAAGCACAAAATACCTTAGTCTTACCCACTGCCGAATGCATGGCTTGCATACAGAAAATGCTCCATTTAATATTCAGCATCTCCAGTTCAAAGCAGCAGGTAGCAGCTGAAGGAGAAGGTCTTTTTCTCTCAGATTTTCCTTAGAAAGTTGTTGTCAAGTAGAACAAATGATCCTGGCCAAGACAGACAGTCTGCCTCAGTGTGATGTATTTCTTGCATCTGGGGATGGTCCCTTGTTTAGCTTGCTTGAAAAAAATGGTGTCCTTCAATAGTTCTTTGCCGTGAACAGGACTGCCAAAGAGGAATAGTATCCTTCAGAATATCAGTTGCTGAGATAATGGTGGTTTTCATGTCCTGTTTGTGAGCTTCCTGAAGATATCTGTTAATCTATATATCCCAGGGTGCTCAAACTTTGGACTTTGAGTAGTCCAAGGGAGTCAAAGGAAGAAGCAAAACCTGAAGCATGTTTTCATAACACTATCCCTCCCCCTATATAAGACTGACCAAGTTTTTTAAAAATTGTGACTACTCCAAGCTGCAGGTAATCTTTGACCTGCTGTTGGAGAACCCCTGGACTTACTCATTTTCTGGTTCTCTCAATAAGTCAAACCATAACCTAACCCAGTTTGCTGGTATCATACCAATGCTGCCCCCTCCACACACACACAACTAAATTTATCACTCATCAAGCTTAGAATACTCTATAAATACATTTGCTAGGGGCTTTAGCTATCTAGGTTAAGCACCTTGGCTTCTCCCTCCAAGAAGCACGTCCTTTCTCTACAGTTTGGACTGTATTTATTTCGCAATTGTGCTTCTACATCAGTGTTTCTCGACCTTGGTGATTTTAAGATGCGTAGACTTCAACTCCCCGAATTC